ACTCGTCAAAAAGGTGCTTGTTAAAGAGTTTAACGTGTATCAAACCCGGCGCGAGACTTCCAATGCAAAGCACCCGGTGATAGATCTCATTATATCTCAGGTATGCTCAATAAATGTCTGTTTTGCGGACCCAACCATAATGTAGATTATATCAGAGGCCGTGTATAGACATACTCTGTGTCCACAACTCGATTGAATGAGTTTTCCTTTAAATAAGTGAAAGAGTATATAAGCTCCGAATTTAAGGCAACAAAAATGTTCTGTTTATACCCCAAACACACCTATTTTGTGCTAAATATGCTATTTTGCCATTCTTTGCAATATTTATTACTATTACTTTTGTTTTTGTCGGCAATTCTCTCTCATTACCAGTGCTTTTGTGCAAAAAGGAAAGGACTTTTTTATTGCTTAAACTTATGGCAATTCTTGAGATTTACCAAAAAAGAGACAACGATTGGACCGAAGGTCAGCATAATCGACACATGAATACAGCGAATGGCTTCTGACGGCTAGCGATAGGAATGCAAAACAACACATCACATCCTTTTGTCACAGAGAATATCACCTGTGCTTAGAGTACGGCATATATTGAACACAAAAGTAACTTAAATCAGTTTTACAACTTAATAGCCTTATTATAAATAGTGCTGCTTTTTGCACAGTCATAGTGAAGCTGTGTTAGCGTGCAATGGCTTATGCATTATACCACTCATAACACACATTACTGTACGATCATAGAGAACATGGAGATGAGTGGAGATGATGCCGGTGTTAGTCCAGTAGCCAATTGCACTATTTATAATATGGCTATTAAGTTGTAAAACTGATTTAAGTTACTTTTGTGTTCAATATACGCCGTACTCTAAGCACAGGTAGGGTGACCAACTCAAAATTTTTAAAACAGGGACATTTCATTAAAAATTATTAAAAATTCCGGGACATTGCAGGACCTTTCAAAATTTCCACAGGGACACTTTGAGTAACATGCCATTTTCCCCGGGACGCTCAATGGTTCTGTGAAAACTCCGCCGGGACAAAATGTGCCAAACAGGGACTGTCCCGGTAAAAATGGACAGTTGGTCACCCTAAGCACAGGTAATATTCTCTGTGACAAAAGGATGTGATGTCTTGTTTTGCATTCCTATCGCTAGCCGTCAGAAGCCATTTGCTGTATTCATGTGTCGATTATTCTGACCTTTGATCCAATCGTTGTCTCTTTTTTGGTAAATCTCAAGAATTGCCATAAGTTTAGGCCATAAAAAAGTCCTTTCCTTTTTGCACAAAAACACTGGTAATGAGATATATGTTTGTCTCGTTTGACCCTCTTTTGACATTTTCTAAATAATTCTCTATTCATTGGATTCCATATCAAATAGGATTGAATTATCTTTGCATCGTTTGCACAACACATGCATTTTTTAAACCATAATCTTATCCTAATGTGCTGTCCGTTCGTTGTCATTGATATCTTTCTATTTATTATAAAGTTTAATACAATTTAATTATTATAATCTGTTTAATAATTGCATAACAAATAATCTCAAGAAAATGTATAGCATTTTGCAAATGAAGTAAAATGTGATTACATATGAAAGTCACTCAATATATTGAAAAATATACTAAAAGACAATAAGAGTTGAGTTGTGTTTTGATTCGCTTCGACAGAGTCTTATATTTCAGTATAAGTTTTATGATTTGAATGCAGAATAACATACAATTTAAGTCCATTGAAAAGCCCAGCGATGTATAGTTTATTTAGAGCCCAAAAGCAGTTTATTTGATCTCAAAGAATAATACTTTTTATTGTTGTTTGAAACAAACATTACTTTAAAATTCTGTCAATGATTGTTGTTTTTGAACTACATTTTAGTGAAACAAAAAACAATCAAAATAATAAAGTATTGTGTGTCCTCTCAAACACAACCCAAGAGAGTATATCATCGCATAACTCGTCTCTACTGTTGAGATAATCACGAGTTCTGAACACCACATAATATCGGCACAAATGGTTTCACATATTCAACGGCCTTCACTAAAGCGCATTTAATATAAAAAACACATGATTTTTATTTAATATACAAAGACTGGAGATAAGGAAAGTGTGTATTTATAACACAAATCAAATGGAAATAAATTTTTTTAAATTGATATCTAATGTAATTATCAAAACTGATTACATCTGTTATTAAATTTATAAATGAAATGAATTAATGTGTGAATAGTATTCATGAGAAGAAAGTCTTAACTGTCCCTCGAATGACTTTGCGACAAATGGGGCAGTCGGTCACACAGGGGGCGCATTGAGTACACGCCAACTGATGGCCACACGGGAGGAACACTACTCCTATCTCATGGTCTAAACATATTTTACACAATATCCGATTGTCTTCCACACGACTCGGTATGCAATCATTGACCAACACTTCGGGTGACGAGGAGTAGTTGGATAGTGACAATACGGTCGACGACAGCGACGGCCGAGAGTTCGGCAGCACTTCTCCACCAGAATGATAGTCGTCATCACTGGAACTGTTGTAGAGATCATCCGAATTGTGTGTCTCTTCTACGCATTGGTTTCGATTCATCAAATTATGAACATTTGAAGCACTCCTGCGTTGGGATGTGACCGCATCGTAGAGCTGAGCAAACGAAGTATACGGCTGTTTCACATCGTACCATCTTTTGTTGAGCACAGCCTTAACCTGATCAACGGTTCCCACATTAATGTCCATAATTTGGAGCACAATTTCAGTATTCATCCATTCATTGACGGCACGGATGCCCAACGCGTTCACCGATTCTTCGTCGGAGTCGTAATCGCTGTATATTTCGGGATCGGATTCGTTCTCATTGAGTGAATTCGTGTGCCTTTGGTTGACTTGCATTTGTTTGCATTCATTGACAAATGCCTGCGATTTGTTGAGCACAACAAATTGACAGTCGGAAAACCATTTGGCGTGTTCTGTCCACGGCTCGTCTCCCGGCTCCCAATTAGACAGACCACCGTCACAGTAGAAACACTTCGTGTAATCACTTATTCCGACTGCAAAAAAGCCTGCCTCAGCTAAGCTATCCGTTGATACGGGAATAAATTGATCCCAACTATTGATATAATAAGAACGCTTTCGGGCGTGAATCGAGTTATATTCGGGATTTTTGGGTCCGTTGTGGTGTTGGACACCAAATTCACTCATATAAATAGTAAATGCATTCATATCGATATCTTTTCTATTGATTGAAATTGAGTTCAGCACTGGATTCGTGTTTCCATATGAACTCATATTCCCGCAGACATCGTGTCTGGCCTTTGGGTCGCGAATGGGATCTCTACCGATGGGCACATTCCCGACATCCATCTCCATTATGAATGGACACAATGGGAAGTGAATGCTGTGTTCACTAAGCGCTCGGTCTCCTGATTTCCAGTGCGAGATCACTCCTCGACAAAAAGCGCACTGAACTTTATTCTTATTAATGGTGTAGAAGAAACCCGCGTTAGCCAACTCTTTGGCGGTGATGAAGCTGTGCGGCCAGTCTTGTCGGGCGTGAAATGTGCGCAATCGCGTCCATTCGGTTCGCATCAAATCGTAAAAGCCGTTCAACCAATCGGTCGAGCCGTTCATCGGCGGCGACTGCGAGATCTTGTTATAGTTGATCAGAATCTGCGCCAATTTAGTGCCGGCCTTAGAGGACGAGCCGTCGCTCGACTCAACAGTAGTCGTACTCATTTAATTGATTATACAATGATTTCTACATCTAATATATGAAAATTTTATTTTACTGCTTTGCTTTACACCAGATCAGTACTGAGCATCTTTCATTAAAAAGCTTTTATTTTAGTTTTTTTGCTGGACATTATTTGTAGTAAATTTTAAAACATTAGTCACAACTACCATTACATTTGTTTATAAAACATTACACATAATGCACTTCACCACTCTCTTTATTTGATAACGACATATTTGAATGCATTAGAATTATAATAAATTAATTAGAAAGTATTTTGTACTATAATGCGGGCAAATGCACTGGAATGCACGCTCAGCTCATCGTTGCACCAGATGAAATGTACCGGCAATAAGAAATATACAATACAAATGCAGCTCCATTAGTAATAAAACAGAAAGGGAAGAGAAAGAATGTAAACAATAACATGCAATAAACATTTTCAACACAACAACAAAACACCAATTTCTAGGATTTGTGTTTATTTGTAATATTGTTGATGTCTGTTATGGTAAGTGTATCTCTTATGTGTATGCATTCATAGCCCTATCCTTCTTGTGTGTGATTCCCCAACAAATACAATGAGAGGATTTACTGGGACTGAAAGGACGGCGTTATTGAGCCAGAAATACATTATACTATCACCTCAAACGCTGAGAACAATAAAACTTCTGGCGTTCACTCGCTCTCCAAGATATCTATTCCCGAGATGACTGTAATATATAAATATCACTACAACTGATCAAAACATTTTGTTTTCATTATTGTTATATTAGATTACATTTAAGTATCTATTATATCGTAATTTGTAATTAGAAGGTCGTTTAAATTAACTACAAAACCTTAACTGTAAAAATTTTAATTATTTTTAGCATTTAATTAAAACAAACAAAAAACAATCTCTAATTTAAAATGTTATATAATTTTCGTATTGAACGTGAAGTGCAATTAATTTTGTTTTATAATTCAATTGAAGGCAGTTTTCTCTATAATGATAGCCATAATAAAGTATATGTCTATCTGTGGCTCTCATTCACTGAGTCTATATCTTATATATAATTCTCTGTTTTGGTGTTCATATAATGGTAGCAAAACTGTGAGCCAACGAAATGATGGCACAAACTTTTCCTATAATCGTATCGATCCTACAATTCATAGCGAGTTTGATGTGAAGCACACATAAAATGGTCGGGTCTTAAGGCCTTAAAACTCTAATAATTCTACGAATAGGTATTGAAATGTCATTTCGTATAATAGGCTCATTGAATCGCGCGAACAGATTGTTATGTCTCACAGATTCATATTTAAACAGTCCTTTCATTTCTATATACTTTGCATTACAAGACGGAGAATAAATACTTACCAGGAATAAGAGTTTTAGTTTGAGTTGATTTGAGTTTTAATTATCAAAAAGTTATTTAATTTTAAATAATGTATACATATTAATATTTTTATTAAATCACCAAGGTGTTTTTGAAAATATAGCCTTTAAATTAGAGTACACTATATGTGACTCACATTTATGTACAATATATAAAGACAAGGATTAGCTGTTGAGGTGTATTTTTACCTGCATTTAGAATAGATTCTTAATATTATTCCTCAATATTCTGATCATTAAAGTTTGTTTGAAAGAATATTTTTACAATATGTTAATGAAATAATTTACATTATTGTTTAGTTTACTATAAATTTAAAGGCCTTCATTAAAAACTACAAATACTATAAAAATACTATATTTATAAATAAAATAAACATTTAGTTTTCTTTTTATGAATCTTTATTATTATTGAATTTATTTTCTTTTTTATTGTACAAAAATTTCATAACATCTTCGATGAAATTGCTGTTGAATTGTGTTTGTATTTCAAAAATTGATATGTTCATTAAAATGATTGCACAAGCGTTTCATTTATATTTGTTTTAAATTAATGTAATGTATAATTATTTTTACTCAAATATTAGTCGAAATATTTTTACATTTAAAAAATGAAAGAAATAATAGTTATGCTAAAAATTGTTTAATTATTTAAGTATATTCCGTATAATTAATGATATGTTTATACAATTGTTTTGTATGTTATATGTGTTGCTGTTATTGTTTGTGTCTTATATATTGGTATTTAAATACATTTGTCTAATATTTCTATTCAATTCAAATGTTTAATGTTTTACAGAAAATAATTCACAATTTTGCTAACAAAACATTAATTCAATTATCTGTTGACTCGTTGTTTACAAAATTTCATGAATTATTTTCACTAATTAATATTAAGTATTTGCAAAATAAAACAATATAATAATTTTGTTCAAATAAAAAAGTGAAAAGTAAATATTAATTGAACAAAAATTGAATCAAAATGAACTAATATTTCTACTATAAGTTAGAAAATCAACAACTTTTTCAATACTAATTATAATAAAAAATAAATCAAATTTAATTATAAAACTAATAATGATTTACTTAATAATGAACGAAATGTTTTAAATATTGATATTAAGGAACTTAATTTGTGGTGAAAGTATATCTTCAGTTTTCTTAAAGTAATAAGTTATTGTTGTTAATATAAATGCCAATAATTTTATTATTTTTGTGATTATTAAAACTTTTATTTGCAACTTTACTATCATCGTTCATTTTAATGATCTGTATTTTTGGCAATTTTAACAATTCATTCAAAATATTTTCAGTTAATTTCTCGCAATTAATTGATAACGTTTTAAGTTTAGGAAAATTTATGGCAAAATTTGAAGTAATTGAAACATAATTGTAATTAATTATTAAATGTGTTAATTTATTACATTTATTAAACGATTGAGGTAATACTAAATGTGCCCGTGACACAAAACATGTGACTTCTAAACGTTTTAAATGATTGAAATATTTATTAATTGTCTCAATTACATTAAAAAACGATGTGTTTGAGTAATAATCAGGCAAAAGTGATAGTCTCTTGAGTTTACGGCAATTAATACCAATCATTTTTAATTCATCACAAGATATAGTGTCAGATGATATATAAAGATTGAGATCAATTAATTCAGTCATTTGTGACAAACCATTCATTAATATTTGTTTATTCCAATCTGTTGTAATTATGGGTTTAGCCCCAAACACTGTTATTGCTTTCAATTGTTTGCCATATATTCTCACAAACGTTTCAAAAATATTAATATCAATTGTTTTACAACCTGTAAACCTTAACACAACATTTTGTAATTTTTTAAACAATATCTCATTTTTATTATCACTCAACACAGATAATGCATTACTTGAAGGCATGTCAATTTGTGTTAAATTTGTACAACACTTGAGTATCTGTTCAATAAAAACTTTGTTTTTTGATGTACTTCTAAGATCAGGATATTTCATTTGTTGTGAATATTTTGAAATAAATTGAGAACATAGATCATTTTCATTTTGTTTAAATCTATAAAATATTGAATGTAAATTATTGCAGTATTTCATAATTGACTTCAAACTAGTCTTTGACCAATGATCTTCAATAGTTGTGATATTTTTACACTTTTTTATTATTAGTTCAAAAGTTTTACTGCTTATTAATGGAATTGTTTCCCATGGAACATCATATACTGTCTCATATATAACTCTCTGCCACTGTTTGGCGGCTACGGGTGAAAATAAGTTTGCCTAATTTAAATTATTTATATTCAAATATAATTT